ATTCGTCGACTATTACCGAACAAACGATTATTGCTTCTGTTGCATGAGACTGTTTTCTAGAATGTACAAATAAAACTAAATAGAATTTTCAAGACCTTGAAAACTGCTTAGAAGCCCATTCGTGAACAAAAGTTAACATTTCGAAATACACCTACTCGGAGAATTCTTACGAATGAGAGCCTGAATGAACAAGGCCATCAATTTATGGCGCGAATTCAAAGAGCAAAACATCAATTCAGATTCGAATCTTTCTAAATCTAAACACACTTATATCCGTCTATAGGAAAAAGTTCATCAATGCATAATTCTTTGAATTAAATGGTAAGTAAATTTGAGTCATTCAAAATAATGCTTGGATTTTTTTTAATTGATACAAACACTGAACTAGTTAAAACATGTATAGTTATTCCAATCCATTGTAACTTGGTATCATGTTCATAACGTACAGAAAAACACCGCATAATGCGAATTCGATACGCGCAATATCAAATACAGCGATTGAATGAAATTATATTCCAAGTATCTCTCTTATAACATTTCGCTCTTACATGATAAGAAAATATCGTAAACTCTCGTGTGAAACAGCAAGACAGTTTCGTGCTAAAAGTTTAATGAATATGCGCAAACTCTCTTATAAGGTTTTTATTCTAAACATTCACAAAATTAAATTACGTACTACGCCATCGCGTGTAATAACAGTAACAACCAATTTGTTTATGCACGCAAAAATAAAATAACTTCCGAGAAGGCCCGTATTCTCTCTCATCCAAATTCTTTTGAAATCAAGTCGTGTTCATCATTTACACAGTATTAGCTGAGTTCGAGACATTTTATTAGGAACTGCGAATATCCTTTATCTAGGACCCCAAGTGTTCAGTTGGGAGATAGTATAAATTTCGTAATTGTGATTTTGGAAAACAGTTTTTGGGTGCCTGTTCATAATGAACTTCGTCCAGCAAGTAATTATTACTAATACAGTTGAAGAAATCTGATTACTGCTTTCAAATCTATGTATTGATTTTTAATAAATAATAGATTAAACGAGAAAGAAAAATATGTCAGGTTCTGCTAAATTGCAACACACTGGTGCGTAGAGAATACAAGTATTTTATTTCTGGCAATGGCAACACATTTCTATTAAACTGCGTAACGTGAGATAGTTATATTTCTGAAAAGGCAACTTCTATAGCATTGAGTAACGTAAGATAGTTATATTTCTATATACGCAAAACATTTCTGTTAAATTGCCTGCGTAAGATAGTTATATTTCTTATTTAATCGGAAAACTATTTGATATAACTATCTTATGTTTTGCCAAGAGGGAAAACACTGCTTTTAAAGCGGCGAGTTTGTTAATAAAAGTTCATTAAGTTCGCGTAAAAATCATAAAACAAATAAATAAATAAAAATTTTGTTTAAATCTGAAAAATTTCAGATTTCAACGGTCAACTAAAAGGGTTTGTTAAGTTTTTTACGCTCTCGCTGCGCTCGAAGTCTACCAGTCTGCTGTTGCAATCATTCCTGCTCACCCTCCCCCCCTTTTTTTTTCAGCTTCATTAATTCATTCATGTTTTCTTCGCACTTACACTACAACATGAAAATAACAAATTTTTAAGCATTAAATGTTGGTATATATTTTTTCCCACTTTTTTCAGCCTTTTCTCAGTTCACCATATAAATGGGATTTAGTAGTACGACGGCTTATAAAACTTTTTTTTTTTCCTGTCTTTTTATTATTAAAGTGTGCGTGTTAACTTTATCAAATACTGCGTTTTGAGCACATACGCCACATAAAATTCAATTCAACGGCAAAAAGCACAAAATATTTAAATACATATAGAATAGATTTAGAATATCTCAAAATTTACATCTTTAGAATTTCCAATAGACAGTCTCGAAAACTGGAAATAAAAATGTTTTATTACGTGTCAGTGCTCGCTTTCAAATCCTTGATTATCAATCATAAATTCATTAAGATATTACAAAATATGAAATAAGCAATAAAAATATACTCGTATGACGTCACTTTACTGAAAATACTGAATATTTTTAATCTGATAGATCATGAATAAAATGCATTTTTATTATTTAAATCAATCCAATTTAAAAGTAAGATACGAATATTCTCAAGAATTGCATGTATTGCTTTCAAACAACTTTGTTTGTAAATCTAAGACACACAGATTAAATTTGAAGAATAAATATCTTGTGTTTTGCTGACTGACAACAGACTCGAACGAAAAGTGAAACGACTTATTTAGTTATTTGACGCAAAATCCTATTCCGAGACTAACAACCTTTTTGGGATAAAAATAAAATAGAAATTCAGCTTCCGAAGTGCATAGCGTGATCAAAACTGGGTGCCTCTAGTTGCCGATATTTTACAACAGTGAAAGAAGCAAACGTGCATATATATATATGTGTGTGTAAAAGATAAAAAAATACGATGGCTTTGCTTTTCGCGAAAACGCAACCTTTAATTAACTTTCTGCAAATCAGGATCTTCCCCCTAGACCAGTACCTTCTAGAATTTGCTAGCCTATTACATAACCGCTACTATTGAATGCGTGCCATTTTGCATCAGAAGCTCGCCTCTCCTCCTGTGCTATACATCTCGTTGCTGCTTGATCTATCTTTTTTTGTTAGAATAGGAATACGCATAAAGTTTAACTTTAGTGTACTTAGTTTAAACTACTATTGAATATGTGATCTAGAGAATTTCATATGAAGTAAGCAGATCGGAAAAATTGAATTAAAGCTATGGAATAAAGATGTACCATTAACTAAATCACTTGCCTCTTCATTTGGATTACCTTACCACTCTGCAAAACCAAGCCTGAACACTGATGCCAACTATACATATATATAATATATATATATAAATATAATTTATTTACTAAAAAATATTGATTCTATTATCTCCTAAATAATTTTAGTAGAATATCTAAAAAGAGTGAATGCATAGTTGTAAGTTAATTCCGAAATTGTTTTAAAGTAATTGAATGTAAATTCTTAAAAATGTTTAAGGGGACTTAAATTAAATCATGAATAACCAAATTTCAATTGTAAAAAGAAATTAAATTAAAATTAAATTAAGCAAGTAATTAAGCAATTAAATTAAGAGAGCAAGTAATCATTGCCATTGATCGGAAATTGTTGGACTTCAAGGGGAACAAACCAACCCCGTTCAATGTACATAATTAAGAAATAAATACGAAGGTGTCGTCCTTTACTCAAGGAATAAGGCGATCCAACTGGCAATTTAAGTTGGCCAAATATTTCCGCGAATTGAAGGGATCAAGAACCAATGAAGCACCAAAGAACTCATTCTGATTAAGCATTTTCGCTAATTAATTGAGTGAAAAGCAATTTATGCAGTAAAATGGATAAATTACTGGAGTAATTGTCCCCCACCCCGTGTTTAACATTTTAATCAAAACTATTTGTAAAAAATTAAACACTGGAAATTGGCATTATGAAATGGAACTCAAAATAATTGAAATAACATTAGAAAATTACGAAATATAAGAAATGTAATGCAATCTTTGCAAAACAAATCAAAAATAAAAATTTAAATTTAAAATATATATATAAAAAAGGGAGTACATGAATATATAAAAAGCCAGAAAAAGCATTCATTAACTTACTTTTTCTAGTGGGAAGTGGCATGACTAGGATGCTTGAGGACGTATTGTGGATTTTATGTAGTGAACCGTCTGTTAAAATTTGATATACTAGTGAATGGAAATTAATTAATTCTGGCTATTGTCGCGTCGTAACGAGAAGAAATTAAGAAAAGGAAAAGAAATTTCGCTGTCAAGACTATTTGAAACTAAAGATTATGAATAGGGCCATTTTTTTTAGCATAAGTCTGAAGACAATTAGCTTTTACATTATATACAGCAATAACTATGTACAATCCTTCACTGAAGCATCCAATTACCGGGTTAGGAACAATTATCATATCCCTATCAGTTAAATTATTTAGAGTGAGTATTTAACGCCTGTCTTTTAGCAATGGTTATAAATTGATTGGTATTAGATTATTTTGAGAATTTTATAAGGAGCAAAATTTTGGATTGTGGAATTCGAATTTATTAATTTGTTAGTATTGAAATGAAGTTTCTTTTTTTGTCAAAATAAAATTTTTTGTAGTTAATGATTTGAAGATCTAGATAGTCTATGCTATTTTGTGAATTATTAGTTTTATTAAGTGTAAGGCAATTTGGATAAATCTCGGAGTATTCAAATAAGATCATCTATTTATTTGTAAATGTGCTTGTAGTAATTTAATTCTCGTTGTTGTAGATTTTTCTTTTTTTTGGAAGTTAAATTCTTTGATAAATAAAAATATATTACAGATTGAGGTACTGGAATGGGACCAAATTGGAAGACCTCTGACTTGTTTAAAAAGGTTTTAAAGGTCACCCCAAAAGGGCTCTTTTAAAGTTTAATATGGTTCATCAGTAGAGATTATACATAGAGATGGCCCAAGTGGAAGAGGGAAATAAATATTTTAAGAGAATACATTTAGACACTAGACCAAGTAGTAGGGCGGTCGATAAATTTAGATTAGTGGTTCTCAACTTTTTGACACCATGTACCACTTTCACCACTGCTAGACGACTATCGCCCCGCCCTCCTTTCCCAAACTTGAAAAATACATATATATTATTTTTTAAATATTTTATAAATTAAATCGAATAGAAAGTGTTAATTACCAATTTATTTAAATTTTTATTATTTTTAATACGTTTTATAAATTAAACATGAAAAAGTATCGAAAAATGTATATTATCAGACACAAATCTATTCTTTGATGGAAAACTATTCAAGAGATTGAAATAAAATTAAGTAGATCCATATTATCCACCAATTTAAAAGAAGAATGAAAGTACTTTTTTACAATAAATTTTGTCAGTTTATATTATTAGGTTTATTCACTTTGTAAAAAAACTGCATTATTAAAAAAACAGACTTTATACACAAAAAATAAATACCTGGAAAAGATCTATCCCTGAATATGATTCAAACAGAATGCAGCCAGTCCTCTGCACATCATAAGATTGTGACAGCCAGGTTCTGCAAAACAAACGTTAAAATTTCAAATACATGTAAAATGCATTTTTACATTGAAACTAATATCAAAATTAACATACTAAACACTGTCTAACTGTTTCACAATGAAACTAGACTACAGCCAATAGTAAAAGAAACCAAAAAGAAATTGCAAGAAATTTCGCTCTAATGTTCATTCACACTAAGCATGTTGAAGAAATCTGATCCTGATAAAGGTGCGGAAATTTTGATAATGCAGTCACAAATTGCAGGTCAAGATAACCCTGTTGAGACTTTGTCTGACAACTTTGTTCAATATTTTTAACAAAAATATAGTTCAATCAAATGTTTAGGGAATGCTAAATAAAATTTTAAGCAACAGATTTTGTTAATTTTGAATTAATATAGCTAAACGCTTATTAAGGTAAGAATAAATTCTTAGTATTCAACCGAAAAGGACTTTTATTTTAATTTGTTAAACACTGTTTGTCCCCTAGATTTTTCGCGTTTTTGGAATTGTTCTCACCAATATAAAAATAATATTATATGAAACTAAATGGGGAGAATTTTCTCTCTGAATGTTTCTCACTGTCACCCCAACGGGCTCTATCGTTTTTTAGGTCGTATTTCTAATCCGAGAGATGGCCCTGTGGTTTTTAATATTTTTATTTCAATTAGTATTCGGGTCGATTTAGCTAGTTTTTGATCACGATGTTTCACTTTGTACGGAACCCCTCTTTTCATCACTGCTAACGTTTATAGAAATCTCATATTTCCCAAACTTTATTATTATTTTGAAAATATTTTTATATGGCGATAGCCCCATATGTGCTTTTCATGAATTTTTATTATTTTTAATTACGTTGATTTTAAACAAAAAAAAGTATGAAAAATGTAGATTAACCCCCAAATCCTATTCTTATGAAAACTATTTTTAAAATAAGTTCTACATATTCCACCATTTTTGCTTCAATATTTTTCGAATTTTTCCTGTTGATGTTTGCCGTAGGGCGTATCACTTTCAAATTGTTGTCACCAAATATTATCGCCCTGTATTATATTTAAAGAAACTAAATAATGAAGAATTTTCGTGAATATGCATGTTTCTAGCACTGTGAAGAAACACCGGTACATAGAACAATCAAATTTTGAATAACGTAGTTCTCTATCCGAACATGAGCACCTGGAAGCCTGAATTTTGAATCTTTTTTATTATCTAATTCATATTTCGCAAAACTTTAATGAATTTTTGATCAACGAACTCAACGATTTCGAAGCATACACTGTACGGAGAGAAAAAATATTTTCAGCTCGCGAAACTGTTTATCAGAAATTCTAAACATATGTTGTTTTTAAATATTTTATGATTTTGCCGTTGAATCGGATTTTATGTGGCATAAGCGCCCAGAATGTGATATTTAATGAATAAAGTAAACACACAAAATGTTAATATTAAAAAGAAAAAAAAAATTGTAAAATCATCTTTAGTAAGAAAACTGAACACTGACCTGATGAACTGAGAAAAAAACTGAAGGGAGACCCCCCCAAAAGAAATAAATAAATAAATAAAGAGAAAGAAAGAAAAGAAAACTGTTTGCCAGCACTTAACGCGGCATCGGGAATTCTAAACGTTTACTCTTATATTGCTTTCAATATTTTTGTAATTTTCCTGTTGATTTGCATATGGCGTAAGTGCAAAGAAAATGATGCTTAAAAATAAAGCTAAAAGACAAACAAAACATTGGGTTAGTAGGAATGAATGTAACAGCCGACTGTCAGACTGCTAGCTCAGTGAGAGCGTAAAAAATCTCAACAAATCCTTTTGGGCGACAGTTAAAGTCTTAACCTTTCAGACTTTTTTTTTTTTTTTTTAATTTATTATATTGGTTGAAATTTCACTCACACCCACTAACTGATTCATTAATTAAACATGTTAAGTACGTTTTTCTGTATTTTAAACTCTCCTGTTAATCTTACAGGCTCTTGGATGAATTATCATAAAAGTCAAGAGATCTTACAGATTATTTCTTAATGAGTAAATAACTATTTTTAATATAATTTAATGAATAAGCAAACGAAATTTTTAGGTTTTTCTATTGAATACCACAGTGCTGTAAAAATCTTATGACGGTATTCAAATGAGCATTTGCAAGAGCTATAAACTTTTATAATTGTATCTTGGAAAATTTGGGACGCTAAACATAAGACAATTTTTATAATATTTGGAGAAGGAAAGTTGAAGAACTTTAAAATCGCCATTTTAAGAGAAAAAGAGCTTAATAATTGGCCTTTTATTTTATTTTATGTGTTTTATAACGTTAGGTTTTAGTATGACTTCTAAATTTACATTTTTATGCATCATTTTGTATACTTAACATGACAGAGTTCATGAACAAAATGACGGGGCGCAGAGAAAAGCCAAGCTTTTTCTCTTTGGAGGGTGGGGAGTGGGAGGACTATGTAATATAAAAAATATTCTGAATTTAATAGGCAACAGCCTCTTATATTTTTCACTTTAATTTCGGTATTTCTCCCTTCTGTCCTAAAACAGTAGCTGCTCAATCTCAACTGCGCCATTTCAAATTAATCCACTTCAAACAATCTCACATAACACTACAAAGTAGGTATGTTTCAGCCAATCAGTGAATAAGATTTCAACTGAAATCAAAAATTTTTGGGGGAACAAAAATCGTTTGACTTACTCTAAGGCTTTTCTCTGAATGCACCGCACTTTCCTGTTTGCCCGCTTCGCGCTCGCTTACCTCTCACTTCCATCCATTGTATTTATTTAAGATGTGGAAAAGGTACAACAGTGTGATGAAGACAAATTGCACCCATAATGATGTGTATTAAAGAAATATGCTTCTAAAGAATCGCATTGTCCAGAAATAAAGTTTGTTGAATATCCACAAAGGCTTCGTTTGTCAGCAACTACACAATTACGCATTTTACACGCCAGCATCATTTACAACATGATTAAAATTATTCGATTACTGCATGGCTAACATAATTTGTTTCTTCTCTCGCATCCTAAATTATTACATACATATTAAAATATTATTTAGGTGGCTGGAGTAGCAAGCGGTTAGTAATCTAATACTGCCATTTTTGTAGGTAGTCACCTTCGAAAAGTGATCGGCATATGAGATTTAATAATCTTATGTTCTATACAGTGTTTATATTCTATGAAATAATAACCACTTTCACAGAAGTTCTTCTTCAGAAGGGGGTTCGTCACATGAGGTTTCTCTGGTTAGTAGAATTCAGTAGTCACAGCAGGCAATCGACTGTAGAATTCAGAAGCGTCCAAGATGAAATAAACATAAACAAAAGAATAGCTATATTTCTCAACGTAATGAGCATCACTATTCTTCTTCAGTAGGTCATAAAGACGTTGCAAAAACTCACTCAAGAGGGTTAAATAACAAAGAACCTCAAACCTAGAAAAAGAAACGCTTTTTTTAAGCTCTTTCGCATTGTTTTCATAAATTTGTAAATCTTTACACAATAAACAATGGCGAGGTATAATTTAACGACTCTTCAAGAGTCAATAACAGCCATAAATGGTAAATTTAGTCTCCAGTAAATGAAAATCAGACTGTTTTGAAAACTTTGACTCAAAAATGTAGATTTTGCTCCTTGGTTGAGTAACTGCAGAAAGGTATCAAAAAGAAATAGACAATCAATTACTTTTACCACGGGTGACTGCGACCCCATTGCAAAAATACTAAAAAATACCATGGAGTAAAAGTTGTACACAATTTCAAATAATTCAGACTATTAATTCGGTGGAACACATACATACATACATGCATAATCAAATCAATTTCAAACAATTTTAAATGCGAAACCAAAAGCAGATATTTTAAAAAATTTATTAAAAATAAATTTATGTTTGACTACGTCATTTCGTGCGGTCGCATACCATTTTGATGTCTAACATTTAAAAAAATAATAGCTAATTTTAGCTTACGTTTCAAGAAAGAAAGGTTAAGTTATGGGAATTGTTCTACTTATATTGTTGCGTGCGTACGGGTTCGTAATAGATTGGATGCACAAGTAACATAACAGGTTAATAGAAATTTATTTTTATCAACAAGAAATATTTCAGAACTCTGGAATTTTCCATAGAAATATTCGTACAAGTCTTCATAGTATCACACAAGGCTTATAGATATATATTTATTTTTTATTTTATTTATTGTACATTTTTGTACATATTTGCGAGTTAAATAAATTACGTTGTAAAATTAACATCATCATCCTTCCCCCCCCCTTTTGGGGGGACCTATTATGCTATCTATCTTTTAGTCTGCAATTTAACTGGTCATTTATTTATTTCTTGACGAGAATAAATAATAATAATTATGATTAAAAAACTTTAGATTGACGCAAATTTCGCACAAAGTTTAAAACAAATTTTTATGAAAAATCAGCTAAAATAAATTTTTATGTAAAATCTGCTTATCTAGGGCTTCTATCTTTAACTCTATATTTCACATGTGTCCTTTTAATTCTGAATTTTATATGGCATGCTTCGTTTCTCAATACAGTTATTTATTCGTCCTCGATATGCCAGATAAAAAGAAAACGTCACAAAAATCAGATCCCTCAAAGAAGGAAAACTGGATTAAAATTCAACTGATGCTAGCAATGAGGTTCAAACTTTCCCTCTTTGTTAAAGTAAAAAATAGAGAAACAGAAAACTGAGAGAAGAATACTTCGTAATTTTACTTGCAAAAAAATTGTATTGTTCGTTTTCCAACTTGAGACCCTGTAAGCACGCGCTTAGAAGGATACTGCTTAACAATTGATTTAACCCTGACCAAAGTCATCATTAGTAAAAAGCCTTTGACTTTCCCTTCGTTTTCTGGAGTATAGTAAATTATGGGAGTGAGGCTCAGAAATATGTTTTGGGGCACACGAACTCTACTTACGCCACTGCCTTCTGCAACTCAAGTAGGTTTCTATATTTAAACCTTGGAAACTAGTCCTGCAAATTTATGAACATTACGCTGATTTTTGTTGCCCTAACACCTCCAATAATCGTTATTCGGCATATTACTTT